AGGCAGGAGAGAGGGGGGCCACATCCCCACCGGAGCTGCAAGCCAGAGGGCCTGTTCGTCAGTGTGTCCCTGGCCTGGCCGCTCACTCGGACCACACCAGTTCCACATCCCAATTCCCTACAAAGTCAAAACCTTTACAGCCCCAGGGATCAAAGCCCAGAGCCCGGGGACAGAAGCCAAGGCTTTCCCTCGGGATGCTGGGGAAGAAGCTTTTCTCTCTCACGGCAGAGAGAAGCCCCCTTCGCCCGGTCTGGATCGCATCTCAGCTGGCTCCACGCTCCCCGAGGTCTCCTTCCACTCATCGTGTTAAGGAGAACATCAGGAGGAAGAAAAAGGCTGACGGGCCAGGACCAGCACAGGAGGAAGCGGAACCAGGAAGCTGTCTTCACTACCGTGGCTGCAGGTTCAGTCTTAAGGCACAGCCAACGGTTGGGGAGGGGGAGAGGTCCACGCCGGAGGAGGACGTGGCAGGAAAGAGCACCTTAGGCCTCTTTGTTTTGTTTCTTCTTTTTTTCTTTTCCTTTTTTCCCTGTGCCACACAGCTTGTGAGATTTTAGTTCCCCAACCAGGGGGTTGAAGCTGGGCCCTCAGCAGTGAGAGCGCAGAGACCTAACCACTGGACCGCCAGGGACTTCCCCGTTTTTCTTCTGTCAAACCTGCAGCCCTTCAGAAGCCAACAAACCTCTGTGAGCTGAGTTCAGTGCGGCCTTCTCAGTGTAGGGCGAGGGTCCTTCCTGCTAGGAGCCGCGGAACAAGGAGCCCCCAAAGGCTCCTTACAGCACAGCTGCTCCCGCAACACAAGGGGGTTCTAATTCTAAGCCCGAGGGCCAGAGTCTGGCAGCTTTCAGTCATTTGAGGTGGAGACTGGTCGAGAGGCCGGAGCACAAGCCAAACTCAGTCGTAACTCTGCAATCCAGCAGGGTCCCAGCATTCACAAACACCGGGGGGTGGGGTGGGTGGGGAGGAGTTAAAGTCGGGCCTAGTACAGGGGATGGGCCTGCTCAGCCCCCAGGGGGCACAGGCCAAGCCCCACTTTGGAGCGGGGCACCCCGGAGCGGCAGCTGTCCGCATCCAGCCCTCCTGGGAGCGACGGTGTGCCCGTCCTCTCCTGGCGGCGTCCTTCCAATCACCCTCCCTTCCTTCTGGCAGGGCTGGGTCTGCCCGAGGCTCCGGCACCCCTCGGCAAGCCCAGGACACGGGCCATCCTGCCGGCTGCTCGGGCAGCAACTCGGCAACCAGAGCCAGCGGACGTGAGGCAGTGTCGGGGAGCCTCCCCTCAGAGGAACTGCTGCCTGAGTCCACGTGTCCACGTGACAGGCAGGCAGGTGGAAGAATCCATGGAGGAGCGCTGTGGCTTCCTTCACTGGGATGACAGCAAAGGAGTCTTCCTTCCTGCGGGAAGAGGTCTATACTGCGGAGGGGCAGGGATGAAGCATAAAGAGGAAGGCATGACCTACTGCCCCTGCCTCCCTTGGAACCATCTGGTCCAGGTCCCTAGAAAACCTGGAGCGACCACCGGCCTGTGCTGCTCAAGGCCTCCGAGCCCCTCGCTCATCTCCGTCTGCTCCAGAACCACAGGGGGAAGAGCTCAGGCTCTGGCCCTGCCCAGGTCACTGACATGGCCACTAACAAGTCACAGGGCACTCTGACGATGGGGACTTCCAGAGGTGAGCAAGGTATTGGGAGGGAGGGGGCAGGGAAGGAGGAAGGGAAAGGAAGGAAGGAAAGAAAAAGGAGACTTGCATTCGTAATTATTAGACCAGAAATGAGTTGGCTCATCAAGTGTGGTGCAGCTGGGAAAACGGTCCTCACGTACGGCCTCAGGAGGGGGCGTCCTCAGTACACTGATAACACAGGGTGCTTTGAAACTGCTGACTCTGGTTGCCCAATGACAGCTCTAGCCAGCCCGGTGGCCTGAGGTTGCTGAGACAGGGAGAACCGGGCCTCCCCTCACATACAAGGGCATGAAGGGCCTCCTGCCCTCCTCTGTGGGCGCCACCCGCAGGTCTTGTACTCTCTCCTCCCCCACGGAAAAGCACACTGATGCCGCTGGGGACAGATGGCATTCTCTGGGCCAGGATTCCACCTCTACAGACCATCCCAGAACCTCTGGGGCTGGCTTGTCCTGTTAGATCCGCCACTGGGTGGAGGAAGCTGTCCCTTCACCCCCTCCCCAACCCCCCGCAGCCCCGCTCACCTTTACAGGAGAGGGCAGGCCCATGCAGAGCCCCAGAGAAATACGGGTCATTAAGGCTTAACGCCACCTTCAAAGTGGACGCTCACCCAGGCAGGGGAGCCTTCTCAGGAGGCGGTGCAGAGAGTCAGACCTAGGGTACGAGCCCAGCTCCTGCCGTTTCCTAGCGGATTAACCACTGGAGAACTTCTCTGAGCGTCGGTTTCATCGTCTGTTAAATGAGGTAACTCCCACTTACCCTACAGAGTCGCTGTAAGGATTGGGGGATCACAGTGAAGACTTTTTAATGGTGATGGGGAAAGGCTCACGATGTTAGGCCAGTCAAGACCCCACAGAAGGCACACGTCTAAGACTGACCACGTGTCATTATACAACGTGAACCAGCGAGACAGGAGGGAGAAGGGAGTCAGAGACGACACCGGCCTCTTCCCCGGGCCTGGGCCCAAGCGGCAGCACGGGGCACCAACACGTCTGCATGGCTTTATTCGGGAAATCACAGCCCAAATGTTTAGCCTCTAAGAAACCAGTACCAGCCTCGTTCTGATCCTTGGAGCCGCCGGCACAGGCAGCCCTCTGCCCAGACCACTCCTTTCCGGCCCGGGCGTCACTCTATTGTTTGTCCTCCCACAGTGGACGCACGGCACAGGCAGGGACGTGGCCCTCCATACTCAAGGCCAGTGCCCCAGGGCTTGGCAAGCAAACACTCAAACGTCAGTCAGGTATATGGATAACTGTTGGACTCTGGAGTTGGATAAGGACGGTTTCATGCTGGACCATAACATGCGAAATACGTTACTGGCTGTGTGAAGCTGGGCAAGTGACTTCACCTCCCTGAACCTGTCAACTCATTTGTAAAATGGGAACAATCCTCTTGCACAGGCTGACGTGAAGATCAGATAAGACTGAGAGGCAGTGAACACTGTGCTCGCCCAGCCACTGGCTGGTAACTGCTGTTATTACCGCTGCTATCTTATTATCAATATTATCATGACCCCAGGAAACTGATTCCACCTGGGAATTCTTATTTAGCAGCTGGATAGGCTTCTTGCCAAATGGCCAGGTAAGACCAACTACAAATAAACCAGAGGTGACAGCAACGAGGAAATCTCTCAGCATCACTGGAAGAGGAGCTATTCTACCACAGGGCAAATTTCTAGACATAAGAACCCTTTAATCAGTGAATTCACTCTAACGGTGAAAATCAATAAGTTGTGGAAACTTCAGGCAAATATGGACTCAAGTCCTAGCTCTTCGCCTCTGTGTCCTGTGGTGAGTCATTTAGCCCCTGGGAACCTCAATCTCCTCATCTGTAAAAAAAAAAAAAAAGGGAAAATCATCTCCCCCAGAGGTTCTTAAAAGGATTAAAGATAATGTATATACACTACTGGCACGTGACAGATACTGCAGATAAAGCTGAGTCACACACTGACGCATCCGGGAGCTACCGAAATGTTCAGGGCCATTTGTTCATGGTTTCCTCAGAGCTTCTGCTTGTGTGTTGTGGGTCTTTTTGTCTGTCCGTGTGTCAGACTGAAAAGTGTCACTTTTCCTCCCAAACCAGCTTGTAAAGTAAATTCTTTATTATATGCGTTACATCAAATCTGCTAAAAACTGGAAAACCACGCCAACTGTCTGCAAGATGGAGACCTGAAACTCCTTCTTGAAGTGTAACAACACCAGCTTTCAGACAGTGGTTTCAGCCGTTCAGATGCTTCGTTTCTCTCATTTCCATTTTCTTGCCTATATCCTAGGTCAGGTCAGGGAGGGCACCCTGTAGACCGAAGGAAGGCCAATTCCCACCTACCTCAAGCCTCAAGAAGATGGTTTTACATTTTTAAAGGATAATATATACATAAAAAAGAAAGAACAAAGAAAAAGTGATAGAGACTTGTGTAGCCTGTAAAGCCTAAAATGTTTACGATCTGGCCCTTTGCAGAAGTGTATGCCACGCCCTCCCCAAATGACTGAATTTGTACTGAGGTAGCATTGCATGTATTACAGTTTTGTTACACTTTCAATACAGAACTTAACTTAAAATGAGATTTTACGGATTAAGAAAAAACGCTTCAGAGGATAACCTGCTTTGGAGCCTTTCCTTGCAAGGCGGATTAATTAAGTGGTCACCTTTCTGGTGGTGTGGAGGGACTGGACGGAAGCAGAAAGCAGGTGCAGCGAAAACACTTCCCAAAGTGCAGGCTGAGGCCCCCAAAAACTCGGGAGTCAGCAAAATGTTGGCTCAGAGGTGGCTGCCCAAGGCCCACTGTTTAAGGACCTCAACTCCTCCCGCCCTGGTGACTGGTCTGGAAGCAGGTGCCCCGAGCTCCAGGTAAGAACAGAGTCAGGGCAGGCAGTGCAGTGAAAACCAGAAGGGCCTTTAGAGACAGACGGAGCCGGGTTTGATTCCTCACTCTGCCTCTTGCCTTTTGGACAAACACCTTAATCTTTCTGAGCTTTGATTTCTTCATCTGGGAAACAGGGACTAAAACAGTGACCACATTTGTGAGGATTTAAGATGACGTGTATGAAATATCTGGCACTGAGTCTTGCACACGGGAGGTGCCGTCCCAATGGCACTGGCTGTTCCTGAGAGGCACGATGCAGAGTACTGCCCGGGCAAGGTAGCAGCAGCCTCTCACGACTGACCCGATGACCACGCTCGGGCCCAGCGCCCTGCTGGGGGAGCTCAGAACTTTTACTAGTTAGGCCAGCCAGGTGGCAGGTCTAAGGGAGACGACTTGGCCTCTCGCGTTTCATCTATGAACTACCTATCAAAAGAGCTGCGGGGCAAAGGGAGTCCGTAACTCACAGGTCTCGGTACTGGTCAAAGGCATTGTTGGCTTCCACCTCCAGCTTCCTCAGCCGAGCAGAAGGCATGGCCCCATCTTCCAAAGGAGGGTCATACTTGTTACTCCACGGTGACCTGGAGGGGAGAAGGAGAAGGATATCACATGAATCATTCCAGTGAGCCATCGGCCCAAGCCCCAGCTTCTGAAATGTCAGAGGAAAAGCCATTATCCACAGGCCCTGGGCATAGACACGGCTTTCTCAAGGTTTGCAGAGCAACGGCTCAGATTCCACCTGACCTGGGTATGAACCCCAGGCTCCAACACTCACCAGCTGTGCATTTCCAACAGGTGTCTTGACTTCTCTGAGCCTCCCTTTCCTTATGTGCAAACTGAGGCTACTATTTACCCACAGGGCTGCTTTGAGGAGCACAGGAGAAAAGTATTGATACATCAAGTGCCTAAATTAGAGACGAGCATATAGTAAGTGCTCAACAAATGGGACTTCTTTCTCACCCTTTTTAAAATTTTCCTTTGTTCTCACCATTGTTTTGATCAATAGAGGCCCCTCTCTCCTCCCTGGCCTGCTGGCAGCTCTGGAGAAACTCTTACTCCTCAAAGATCTTCTTACACGATTAAGGATTAAGAAGAGAACTGTCAGTTATGGAAGCAGCAAGAGAGCCAGCCCCATGGGGAAAGGCTGACCACACGTAAGAAAACCTGAGGGACAGAGTTCTCCCCATGAACAGAGGACGGCCTTCCAGCCTCCAAGGGCTGTGCACACAAAGAAGACTGTGAAGTAATGAGAACCAGCCTCACTTTTTCCAGCCCAAAGTCTTGCTGCATTTTTTAAAATGTATTTTGCCACATCAGGAAAGCATTTAATCACAGAGAATGCTGGCAGGGGGGTTATAAGGGAAATAGCCACTCATTAATTCCCGCAGGTGGAGTTCACAGAGCTGGGGGTTCAAAGAAAGAGAATTTAAAAGGTGAGGGGTGGGGGAGGTGGGCCCTGCCTGGTGGCTCAGTGGTTAAGAATCCGCCTGCCAACGCAGGGGACACGGGTTCGAGCCCTGGTCCGGGAAGATCCCACATGCCGCAGAGCAACTAAGCCCGCTCGCCACAACTACTGAGCCCGCGTGCCACGACTACTGAGCCCGTGTGCCTAGAGTCCGTGCTCTGGAACAAGAGAAGCCGCCGCAATGAGAAGCCCGCGCATCGCAACGAAGAGTAGCCCCCGCTCGCTGCAACTAGAGAAAGCCCGTGTGCAGCAACAAAGACCCAACACAGCCAAAGGAAAAAAAAAAACAAGGTGAGAGGGTAAAAGAAAGGAGGAGAGGACAATACGGAATTCGGACAAAGTCCTTCACATTCTGGGGCATAAACACCTTGACATGTCCACGGTAAGAAACCCCACTGCCTCTCCCGTCTCCCCCCCGACGACACCACTTCACATCACTGAGGACTGAAAAGAACCTTCTGATTTAGGATTGTTGGTCAGGGAAGAAAGGCCTCACTGCCTCCCGAAGCCCAGTTTTAACTAGTTCTGTGCACAAACATCTTTCTTTGTGTTAACTGATGCCTGGCACCTACCTCAGCAGACCACGTCAAGTCAGCTGGGCGACCTCTCCTCCCAGCCACCCTCGGGCAGGGGTCCCAGCTGTCTTGGCTGCTGGCCCACAAACGTAGTGGGGAAGAGTTGCTGTGCTTGGCGCCCCAGAAGGGCCTCGTGCAGCAGCTGCTCAGGCCGCCTCAAAGCACAAGGTGCTTGGAAACCCTTCTTTCCACACCCGCCCCTGACCTTGCTCACCAGTGTCGGGAGAGGCTGTGCAGCAATGGGCTGAAACACTCCCCACTGCCCCGTGACCAGCAGCCAGCTCTTGTGGTCACACTGGGTTGCGCACAGACCACAGCAAACAAAGGGCTGTTGGACAAGCCAGGACCCCACCTGGCGAGAAAAGCAGGCGAGAAGCCAACGCCGGGCACCCTCTCACGCTCCCCGAGGCCTCTCCCTCCCTGGGCAGGGCTGACACGTCCATCATCGCTGCGTTCACCCCTCACAACAGTGCTGCCCGACAGAACTTTCCCCGACGACAGAAATGTTCTGTATCTGCGCTGTCCCAAACGGTAGCCACTAGCTTCGTGTGGCTCCGGAGTACTTGTGTGACTGAGGAACCGAATTTTAAATTTTACTGAACTTGAATTCATTTAGACGGTCAACTTTAGAACCTTAGCTCCCAGAGGGCAAGAGTTGTGTCTGTCTTGCTCTCCACTAATTTGCTCAGCACCTGGAACAGTGCCTGGTGCTCAACCACATGCTCATGAGAAAAAAAAAGGCAGAGGAATGAGTGAACGATCTCGCACCCGACACAAAGCAGAAGTAACCACTGCCCCCGCCTGTCCCCTCACTCCCACACAGATGTCGGTTCCTGCAGCAGTCACATCCCTGCCCTTGACAACGAGAGCGCTCCAGGCAGAAGCGTGTGCAGTCTGCCCTCGCACCCCGGCACCCAACACACAGCTCGTGGGCTGAAGCCTTCCAGCGCGGGGTGGGGAGGAAAGGACACACGGCACTCCTGCAGGTGTTCCTCCAAACCAACAGAGATGGAGCAACTTTCTGCTTTTTCTGCTGAGGGACACCTAAGCATTTAAAAAAAGAAGAAAAAGAAAATCAAAGAAGACCTCTTACCAGATCCAGAGACAGAGATGAAGTTGCACAGTGCTGTCATCACCGCTGTTTATTTGTAAACTACGCTTGGCCCCTCACCTCCACTCACCGAGCGGAGTGCAGAGGAACCTGAGCGGGAGAATCTAAACTCCCCGCCTGCCCTGCGGCTCCTCAAGACCCCAAGACTCTCCTCAGCACACTCTGAGGCCTCTGACTTCCGTTTCCACGGCTACACGGCCATTGCTGTCCTGGGGGCCTGGAAGTCCCACCCCTACTGGCTTTCATTTAAAGGCGACCTGATTAGACATAAGAGCCGATCTCTCTTGAAGACTGGGGGTCTGGAATTTTCAAGACATATCTCTCCCTGCTCACAGGCGACAGCGTTTCAAGCCGTTAGTCCTGGAGCCGGGGTAACTGTAGCTGGGGGAAAGATCATAACATTACCCAGAATATCCTGAGTGGAAGGGGCACTCAGAACACATTTTAAGAGCTTAAATGGAGGCCATTTGAAAAAAGACAGATGGACAGGAACGCTTAGATTTCAAAAGTCAGGCCTTTCATTTCTCTCAGAGAATGCTTTTTGTTTCAGCTAACAGGTTTCAAACAGTGCTGCTGGCAAACTGTCACACCATAAGGATCTTATTTAAGCAAACAATCAGACACAGGACAGAAATGTGTGGAGAAACTCAGAAGACCTTGAAGTTTTATACCGAGAAGAGAAAAAAAAGGAAATCCCTGTGCCCTGACACCCGGGACTCCTCTTCAGCTGAAGAGCCCCAGGCCCCCTACGGAGCCCCAGGAATGCAGGTGGGAGCCAGCAGGGCGACCTGGAGGTACCACATCCTGGGAAAGCCTGGCCTGGGCATGGACTGGAAATGATTCCAGCCTTCCACAGGCTGCTGGGCAACAGCTGCCTCACACAGCAAGCCCAAATTTTCAGGTGGAACAAAGAAATACGACGACGATGTTGAAGAAGCAAGACTCAGCTCCAGGCCCCCCTCTTCCAGGGTGTGTCCCCTGAACCCCATGCCTGGTGAAGCTGCTCATCCTTTGGCCATGGGCTCCCTGGCTTGTCAGCCCACTTAGCACCCTGAGGGACCTCTCCCTTGGTGAACTAGACCTGGCCATATGCCCACAACCGGGACAGTGGCTGGCGCTCCAAGGCTGAGCCTGATCTGCCTCAGGGGTTGTCTCACCACCTTGGAGCTGGATGCCCACCTCTGCACCTCCATCTCCACACAGACCTCCGGGAACTCAAGACTACCCACAGCCTAGCCGACTCTCCACGTCCACCCGATGGGCATCTGAAGTTTAAAATGCCTCCAAATCAGTCCCTCCCAGAGCCTTCCTCACCTCAAGAGTCAGTGACCCCACCTTCCAGCTGCTCATCTGCCCCACCCCCGCACCTGCAAACACTGCTGGCTCTACTTTTTTTTTTTTTAATTTTGCGGTACGCGGGCCTCTCACTGTTGTGGCCTCTCCCGTTGCGGAGCACAGGCTCCGGACGCACAGGCTCAGCGGCCATGGCTCACGGGCCCAGCCGCTCCGCGGCACATGGGGTCTTCCCGGACCGGGGCACGAACCTGTGTCCCCTGCATCGGCAGGCGGACTCTCAACCACTGCGCCACCAGGGAAGCCCAGTGGCTCTACTTTTAAAACGTACCTCAAACCCGACTGCCTCTCCCCATCTCCGACTCTAGTCTCCCGTCTAGGTTAGACCAAAATACATTCTTTACCTGACCTCCATTTGAAACCAGGAAAGGGACGTGATCACATGACAGTAGTCTAGTCTTAAGTAGTATGAATTCTTTGTAATTTCCCCCAAGTTCGGTGCTGTTCAGCCCTTCACATGTGTTATTTCTTTCAACCCCCAAGTGCCCCGAGCCAAGCCCTACGGCCCTGGCCTTCAAGGCCTCTGGTCTCACCTCCTACCCCTGGCCCCCCCCGACCCTCACTGCTGTCTCCCACTCGGGCCTCCCTGTCAGGCTCAACCCTGACAGCTCACCCCACCCAGGGCCTTTAAAGGGGACACTCTTCTCCCAGACCTGCGCGGAACTGAGCCTTCTCATCCGTAAGTCTCATTTCACACTTGGCCACCAACGCCAGAGCCTTCCCTGTTTGCCCCTCCGCCTCTCCCTGCCCTGGTCCTCCATTCTTTTCTTTCTTTGCTCTTTGCTCTTCAACAATATAGACTGTTTATACAGCTGCTTACTCTCTGGACTCCTCGCTGGGACACAAGCTCCACAGAAGAGTGACTCAGCGCCTGACACACGAGTGCCTGCTCACAGAAACATGTCCCTGAGCAACCTGTCAGAAGAATGAACACTATCACCCTCCACTTAATACATGAGAGAACCAGAGTCCAGAGACAGTAAGTAATTTGTCAAAGTTCCCGTTTGCTCAAGGGGGCAGTGCTGGTTGGGAGCCCATGTCGGCTACCTCCAGCGAATTTCTCCTACTTTCATTTTTCAGGCCCCAACCCCACCCCCAAAAGAGCATGAGGCCAAAGCGTTAAGACCCAGCCCAGGTTCTGCGGCTTCTAAAAAAAACCTATAGCCTATGGCATTCCTCCACCATTCTCCAAGGTACTGACTACAGCCATCCATCACAGGAATACTGGATGCGTGTAGGGATTCCCAGTCTTTTTTAATATTAAGAACTCCTAGGCACCCTTAAAAACCTAGCTCGGACGACATCTCCTCCAGGAAGTCTTCCTGGAATCAACCTCGGCCTTCTCTAGCTACCTTCTCTATGCAATAAGCCTGGCCCTGGCTGCAGGAATCACGTCACACAGTAATCAGCTCCTGGGGGCGTCTCCTGTTCTAGACCACGGATCACCCAGGGCAGGGACGCAAGTCGACTTAGTTATTCGCAGCCCTGGACAGGGTGATGGAGAGAGAAAGGACAGCTGCACATCTGTCTGACGAGATTCATTCACATGCCCTTAAGCACGCAGGCCCTCCCTGGGCTCGGGATTCCTGTCATGGGCACATCCTGGACCTTCTCCTTTGCAGGATTTGATGCAATTTTAATGAAGCAGCTTGCTGGGGGTTCTTTCTTTTTTTTTTTTAAATTAATTAATTAATTAATCTTTGGCTGTATTGGGTCTTTGTTGCTGCGTGCGGGCTTTCTCTAGTTGCGGCGACTGGGGGCTACTCTTTGTTGTGGTGCGCAGGCCTCTCATTGCGGTGGCTTCTCTTTATCGTGGAGCACAGTCTCTAGGCACGCGGGCTTCAGCACTTGTGGCACGCAGGCTCTAGAGTGCAGGCTCAGTAGTTGTGGTGCACGGGTTTAGTTGCCCTGCAGCATGTGGGATCTTCCCGGACCAGGGCTCGAACCCATGTCCCCCGCACTGGCAGGTGGACTCTCAACCACTGCGCCACCAGGGAAGTCCCTGTTTGTTTGTTTGTTTGTTTTTTAACCAACATCCCCCTCCTATTAGACTGTAAGCCCCACCAGGGCAGGGGCTTCTTGTTCACTGCTGCATCTCCAATGCCCATTGGGGGTACTCCACAGACATCTTCCGGTCAACTGGATGGAATGATGGATAGAAGGGAGGGAGGGACGGAGGGAGGGAGGGAAGGAGGAAAGCCTAGCAGAAGCACAAGCAGAAAGAAGGCTGATGGGTGGGCTGTCAGATGTCAAAGCTCAGTAGTCCTTGAGCTGCTGCAGCAGTGGTGAGCAGCTGTGGCGGGCGCGGCACGCCTGCTGCATTGGTGGGGCAGGAGCTCACCTATAGGAGTCCCCATCTCTGTTGTAGTCACATAAAAGGTAATCCTTTCCCACCACCTTGTCTCTGGCGATTTTCAGTGGCTGGTCAACAGAAGACAGGAGATCTTCACATAGACTGGGGACCTGGCAGAGAGAGAGGAAAAGTCAGAACAGAGGTTAAAATAACACATCAAACCCAGGTTGGCTAACGGCATCTGTAGCCATACCGTGGTCAGCATATTTAACATCTGGCCCCTGGTAGCCTGCCAGAATTATGGGCCTGTTCTTTTCTTTTCCACATGTGTCTGACACCAACTGTGTCCCTCTATAAAGAAACCTGTTCTTGAATTACAGTGGAGCGTGATTTCCAATACAGCCTTCCTTCCAAACTGCGTGCAGCTTTAATTACCTGGTCGCCAGGGTGGTCTAGTAACGTATGAACGTGCTTGGTATTGGTCTCTGGTGGGAAAAGCATAAGCTGAAGCCCCGAGAAGAAGGTAAACACTTTAAACACACAGGAGTCCAGAGAGCTCTGAGAAGAAGAGCCAGTCCGTGCCGAGAGCTCCCACAGGCTCCCTTGCTGGGTGGAGTTTCCAGTACTTTCCAGAACCCCAGCCAAGCGTTACCAGGCTGGCTTACGGAGTCAACCCTACCTGCTGCAAAGGTAGCTTCCCGCCAGCTTCCCACAGTGCCGAGCTCCAGCTGCTGTGCTCAGGCTCACCCTCCTGGGCCCCTCACTGAGGAGGGGGGCCCTCGGGTGGGGGGCGGGCAGGGCTGAATCCAGGGCAAATGCTGCTGAATCGGACACAGAGCCCTGCTAGGAACCAGGTCTCTGGCCTCCCCCTCCCAACTCAAACATCAATTTCCACCGAAATATTCCAGGAAGGGAGGGCAGCACTCTCCAAAATGGATTCCTTCAGGCTTGAGTCACTTCCATGCTATATTTTCAATGTGCTGACTTATTCATTTCATGGGCCCGGGTTTACGGAGGCCCCACCATATCGTTTACCCGACGAGTGGCTGCCAACTGCACCAATAACCCTTCCAAATGGAAAAGTTAAATCATGTGGCAAAGACACCCGAAGAGCAGCTCAGCAGATGGGTGGCCAGTCACAGCAGTTCCCGTGCTCCCCCGGAAGGCCCCCGCCACCACCAGAGAGGCACGGATGGGGACACGGTCACCTCGGAGACCACCAGCCTCCGTGGGCTTCTCGAGGCATCTCTGCTGATGGGGGGGTGCCTCCGGATTCAGCCTGGAAGGCGCTGTCTGGCACACCTGTGAGGTGGTGACCCTGCCTGGTGACTCACAGCCGTTTCTCATACACCGAGCAGCACCGGGCAGCCAGCCGCCCGACACGAGACACACACATCATTAACCCCTGTCGACAACATGCTTATTTCAGAACTCCTTCTGGATGTAACACCCATCTGTGTACCCACCTCCCCAAGCAGAAAGACATACAAACAAAAATGGGGCTGTGTTCAGTTAGTTTTGGTGCTGAGAATACCAAGCGCCTGCCACGTATCATGCACTATGCTGGGCCCTTTACAGATGGAAACTGTCTACCGGAAGCTCACACTCACCCTGTGAAGTAGTTATTATCCCCGTTTTACAGATTAGAGAATTGAGGCCTGGAGTCGTGAGGTTGCCCAAGGCCCACAAAAGAAGAAAGCAGTAGAGAGAGGTGTCTCCCTCTCTGACCGGAACTCTGGTTTAGCGGACAGCTAAGAGGAAGAAGAGCACAGGCCAAAGGCACGGTCTGCTGGGAAACGACCCCCTCCCACCCAGCCCCTGCTCAGCTATGGCGCCCTTCACCTGGAAAAAAAAGGCCAGATCAAGGCAAGGAAGATTGTAACAGCTTCCACCCAAGGCAGCTGGGATTTGAAGTGGCCTTGCTTTCCTGTCGTTGGCCAAGTGCAAGGGCCCTGGGCACCTCTGTGCCCGTCTATCACGTTACAGCCTTTCCCTGGCATCACTATTCTGTTGGGCTGATTCCTTGCCTTACTTGTTGGGCCCTGACACTACTGGCCTAATTTATCCTGGAGTATTACGTAAAGACCAAGCAAACACGCTCTGAAGTTAGACTTCTTGACTCTACGACTCACTGGCCTCCTGGCCTGGGGCAAGTCACTTTACTTCTCTACCAAGTTGCATTTCCTCCCCTGTAGAGCGGGGATGAGAAAAACCAACCCGGCTGCGGATTGCATGCGACGATGATGCGTTCAGTACCCAGCGTAGCGTCCAGCACAGGGCAACGCGTGCACATCAGGAACCGACGCACTGATGCCCCTGCTCCCCCTCGGTCCCCAACACCGCTGCCTGTCATTCTCAGCCTGCAGCTCCAGCCTGGATGGCATCCCCGGTCTGAACGGCAGCTCCGGCCTAGACAGCAGCCCCAGCCTAGGCTGCACCTGAATTTGCTGTACTGCCCCAGGCACTGGATGAAAATGCACCATTGAGATCCAGTTCTGCCCAGAGCCATGCTGACCCCTTCCCGCCAGTCCTGTTGCGGATGGCTAAGTCCCCCAACAGAAGAAGCTTACAAGATAATGGGATTTGGTATAAACAGGCTTGACTTCACTCCTATCCAAGAGGCTAATTCATGGATCGAAAGTATTTCAGTAACTTCTTCCCAGCACTTATACTAACTGAAATGATTTTTTTTACTGATTTGTGGTCATGTCTCTCTCCCTAGAATGTAGGTTTTACCAGGGCGAGGGCTTTGATCCTGTTCACCGCTGAATCCTCAGTGCCCAGGGCAGTGCCTGACACAGAGCAAGTGCTTGACGTATGTGGGAAGGAGGAAGGGAGGAGTTTTACAATACGGAGCCTCCTAATCGGCTTTATTTTTATTTTTTATTTTTTTGCAGTACGCGGGCCTCTCACTGTTGTGGCCTCTCCCGTTGTGGAGCACAGGCTCCGGACGCACAGGCTCAGCGGCCATGGCTCACGGGCCCAGCCGCTCCGCGGCATGCGGGATCCTCCGGACCGGGGCACGAACCCGTGTCCCCTGCATCAGCAGGTGGACTCTCAACCACTGCGCCACCAGGGAAGCCCTCGGCTTTATTTTTAAATTAATAAATTGGTGTGTAGCAAGGATCTTCACCCAAAGAGTATATAGTCAAGAACTAAACTTTGATGGATACCAATGACAATTTCACTGTGGCTCCAACCAGGAATATGACCTGTGATGTGGTTCCACAGCAGCACACAGAGAGAGCGGGAGTTTTAGTGAAAGTTCTGGCGTCCGTGTTACTATACGACCCCAAGGAGCACAGTGCAGTGCGAGACTGAGAGAGCTGGGTTCGAGCCCCTGCTCAGCTGTTAACTAGCCATGGAGACCTGGGCTGGGCCCGAGGTTGTTCATTTGGCAAACACAGCAGGTGCGCTGCATCAGACACAGATGGCTGCTGGGCCACTGTAAGAGCCTCACTGCTTCAGCGCAAATAATTCAGGTAAAGAAAGCCTCTAAAATCAAGACACTATTAGGTTCTTCATATGGTTAAACGTATTCATCCTTTGAGAATGCCCTTTTTTTTTCTTTTTTTGGTGTTAAGATGTCCGTAACTTGATGAAATGATAGGTCTTGTTTTTGTTCTAAAGGTTCACAACCAATGACCTATTCCTCCTCTTCACTTTTAAATGTCTCTGGCCTGTGAAATCAAAAAATGTGGCAGCCACTTTTCTAGAAAATGGGATCCAGCCCTCCCTACCTGTCCAAGCAGATCTGGGTACTTTCAAGGCCAGCATAAAGGAGCAGGAGGGACTCCACTCCCCACTTTGTAACTCACGTCCTTCGAAGCACAGACAACGCAGATTAAGGCAGCGGCGCAAGGGGCTGATCCGTGGTACCAGCTGTCATCAAGGGCCACTCCTGTTGCCTGCCCAGCCTCCTTTCCTATTCTTCTGGTCACAAAGCTCCTCACTCCATATGGTTGGGCAAGGCTGATCTCTACTCCACCACCACGCATGGGCAACGAGAGGGCCTCAGCCCCTGGCATATGCAGGGAAGAGTCTTCTCCAGGGGCGATGGAGGGATACACGTCTCACCTCCTTTCTGCCAGGGCAGCTGGGTTGGGGGTGCAGGGCCTGGGCTGCAGCAGGCAGCGGGAGAGTACCTCCCTGTGTTTCTGAGCACTGCAGGGCCGTGGAGATAGTACCTGAGCACCCAGATCCAGCCACCCTTGAAGACCTGGACCTGGACTCTGCAAAATCTACGGCCAGGTTCTAACCAACCTAAGGAAAACATACATCTGAACTGTAACTCACAAAGCTACGGCTGTGCACAGAAAAACACAGAGAGTTCATGAATGATGGATGACTTGCCCCACCACGAAAAGCACCTGGTTGTGATATGGCTGGATGATTCTCCACCCCAGCAGGTACAATTTTCGCCTTTTGGATAAACTCCCAAGTTGGGCCATATCCTTGTATTCTGTTTCCCTCCACCACTCCTGTTTCTTTGATCAAAGATAAAATGCTCTGTAAAAATAACATTATTGTCGTCATGTGGAACGAGAAGTGTGGACTACACAGTGTGCTCGCAGATTCGTACCAGAGCAGCTGCCAAGGGCGCATTAGTCATGATCTGGCACCACTACCAATTCGTCTCACTCCCGCCCCTGCACTTCTGCCTGAACCCTCTCAACCCACCACACTGTCCTACTCAGTGCTTCTAGACAGGCGAGTTTGCACATGCGTTCTTCCACTTAAAAATCCTCCCCGTTTAGGGTTGCTGGATAAAACAATGCATTTGGCCAGTTAAATTTGTATTTCAGATACATAATGAATAATGTTTTAGTATGTCTCCAGTTTACACATGACATATATTGGTTGTTAAAACTGGCAACCTGGGCTTCCCTGGTGGCGCAGTGGTTGAGAGTCTGCCTGCCGATGCAGGGGACATGGGTTCGTGCCCTGGTCCGGGAAGATCCCACGTGCCGTGGAGTGGCTGGGCCCATGAGCCGTGGCCGCTGAGCCTGCGCGTCCAGAGCCTGTGCTCCGCAACGGGAGAGGCCACAACAGTGAGAGGCCTGCGTACTGCAAAAACAACAACAACAACAAAAAAAACACACACAAAAAAACTGGCAACCGATCCCCGTATAGTCTTAAATCCTACCACCCTTCAGGGCCCAGACCAAAC